TTGTTGTTAATTGTATATTATTGTATAAATGATGTTAACTGTTTTTATACCGTGTTATTGTAGCATTGAATTTTTGCTGTTCTTGTTGTTAAGCGCTGTGAGTCGCCTAAGGGCTGAGAACAGCGGTATACAAATAAAGTAAATAAATAAATAAATTAGTTGTGTTGCCTTGGGCTGCTGGGAGTTTTAGTCCCAAAATATCTGCAGGGTCCTATTGGGGGTTGTGGCACGTGACAAGTGGCCATGCTGGTTGGTAGTCCAGGATTTTCAGTTTTTACACTGAAAGGTCAAACTGTACTATCGAGACTTAGGTTTTTGGAATTGTCAATCAGAAATGCATCAGTTTGTTTGATCTTCAAACGGATGGTTTGAGGATTGCTGCTGGTCCTTGCAGCTGGGTGTCACCCATCCTATATTTGTGCATTTCATGTGTAGCACTATGAGTAGTACTGTACCTTTCTTCTTGTTGAAATTCATTTTGTTGTGGCAACCCTACATCTGAGAGATCTTCAAGACACCATATCTACAATAGCCCAGCTCAGTTCTTGCAGAAACAGGGCAGTGGCTTCTTTAATTGGGTGCCTTATTGCACTAGAACTAAAAGAGTAGGCAAAGAGTATGCATCCCGTCTGAAATCTTGTGACTTCATCCTGTAGAATTCAGGAACTTGTAGTTAGTGAGACCCAGAACCTCTCTGGCTAAACCCTTTAAAGGCCCCTGCCCTAAACCAAAAGTCTCAGCATTCTGCAGGAGGCAGCCATAGGATTTCAGATGGGATGTATACTCTTTGCCTACTCTTTCAGCTCTAGTGTAATACCGACCAGCTAAAGACCAGATTTGCATCCTCATTCGGCCATGGAAACCTTCTGAGTGTCCTTGGGTAAGCCACACTCTCTCAAAGACAACAGTTCTCTGAACAAATCTGATCAAGTAGTGTTCTGGAACGGCTGTTCCAGGGGCTCCAATTTTGTGTTTTGCACTGAGTGTTTGTTCATAGTCCTAAGTTGCAGGGACTTTGCAGATAGGTGGCTCCTTTGACTGCATTCATAGGGCAAGCCACCTGTCAATAATAGTTAGGATCCCTGGTCCCGCCTCTCTCTGGTTTTTTGGAGGGAAGGGGCCATTTTTCAGTTAGTCTCAAAAAGGAAATCAATGCAGAGGATGTATACAGACATCCTCCTGTGCAAAGGCTTCGTCCCTTAAGACTTTCCGGGGGAGAACAGTCTTGAGAGCCTCTGAAGATTCCCAAAGGTTCTGGGGAAACAGCCTTACAGCCCTGAGGAATTCCGGAGGGAATAACAGCTCTAACCATCAAAGCAGCTAAGTGATGACAAGCCTTTTGATAGGTTCGCTCGGCGTTGAGACGTAGTTCAGCCCGGTAGTGAATCCACATCAATAAGGTTTAGGTTCACAGCAGCCTGGGAGGAGCTAGAAAGGGGAATTTTCCTTTAAACAAGGTTTTTGAAGATAGTGCCTGTTCCCTATGAACAAGATTGCAAGAGCCAAGAGATTGTTAAGAAAGTTTTACAATTCCTGTTTTTTCATCAATAAAAGACTGTTATATTTAAGCTCGAGCCTTATAAGGACTGTTTAATAAGGGAATTTTCTCTAAAGGCTTCTTTTCAGGCCCCCTGGCTTCCCGCTGGATCCAAGCCATACATCCTCTCTTAAAGGCACTTCATTTCAGGTCCAGCGGCGACAGAACAAGTAGGTTTGGATTAAGATCGCCATACGTTGGATACGATTTGAAGACATGCAGTAACAACAAGAAGAAAACATTCTGCTTTAAACACCCCCAGTTTAATATTTTTGATCTGATTACTATTGTAGTCTGCTGAAACTACTTAAATACTATCTTTTCTCCTTTAAAAAATAAAATTAAGGAAAACTAAAGAAAGCACATCTCTGTCAAGGCAAGCAATACATCCATCTGTGGTCTTTTTTGCCATTTTCTTCTCAGTACTGTGAATGTGGAGATACTAGGCCATTCTGAGTTTAATAATCCTATCCGCCTAATGTAGCATCTGGGGGCTTTTTCTTAGGGAGATCAAAGTGTTTGCTAGATCTGTCTGTCTAATGGTACAGAATAAAAACCTTAACGGTTTCAGATGACTTCCAGTAGGTGGCAGCTGTAGACCAGAAGAAGGAAAAGCTGCTCTACCAATATTTTCTGTCAATGGCAACATTATTATTAGTACATAACACTTAATATGGAACAGGTAGAGATGGTTGGTACCTTAGATATGTTAACAGACAGTGTGACATATGATTCTAGACATGGGGCCAGGTGATCTCCAATTAGTATATGGGATTCTGATGGGTAGTGAGAAGCCATTACACAAAGCCCTGCAGGGAACAAATTGTGTAGTGGTTTGAGCTTGAAGTATCACTCTGGAGACTAGGGTTTGGATCCCACTCAGTCATAAAAACCAGGCAAGAAATACTCTTTCATTCTCAGAGGAAGGCAATGGTAAAGCACTTCAGAACAAATCTTGGCAATAAAACCTCTCTCAGGGTCACCATCAGTTAGCAATGATTTGAAGGGTCTTCCATTAGGAATAGGGGAAAAGCCTGTTGGAGGCTTTTCAGATGGAGGATGCTGTGGAAAGGCATACGGCAGCCATTAATCTTGAGTCCTTTTCCAACCTCTCTGAAACCCACCCAAAGTAGCTCTTTGCCCAAGGTTGGCACTTCACTGCCTGAGGCTGAACAGAAAATTACATCCTTTGAACAACCATAGAGTGTTGCAGAATATATTGTGTTTTGTTTTCTGGGCCAGTGAAAAAACAACAACTAACAATTTACTGTCCTTTTTTGAGGTGGTCACAGCCCTTTACCTAATGCTAGAGCTGGCCCTGTTGCAGTGGCATGTCAGTGTGGGAACAAATCCGTATCAGGAAATCTGTAAGGTGCTGAACCCTATTCCTTAGTAAGTTCAGCACCTTGGACAGTCCATCTAATTGCTGCCCCAAATCAAAATGGATTTGTAGCCCCCTTCCACACATTTTCTGCTTTGAACTGGAATATATGGCAGTGTGGACTCAGATAACCAGGTTCAAAGCCAATATTGTTGGATGTTCTGCCTTGATCTTCTGGGTTATATGCCTGTGTGGAAGGGCCCATAGTCCCACTGACATGGAGCCAACCTTATTTTGTTTTCTAAGGTCAGCTAACATCCAAGCCAGATTATTTATGTGGAAGTGAAGGGAGAAGACATCTTGACATTTGCTTCATACAGTAAGAAATAAACCATAAGGAAAAGCTGTGACCCAAACATTTCTGCCCTTTTGTTCTGTAAGGAAGGAAGGTTCAAAAAGGGGATTTTTTTTTCTTCCTTTTGGTTATTCAACAAGAAGCTGAGCCCAACCCTCCCCAGCCCGAAGGACAACTTTAGATGTAAGTGTTGATCATGCCTGAGAGCTGGTTGAAGAGTGGCAGGACATAAAGTGCCCTCTTATAGCTGCCAAATGTAATTGATAATGGTTCCACAAGTTAACAAGTTAGCTAGTCTTTGTCAGAAATATTTATTCCTTTGTAGAGTGTGCCCTTGGTATCCATTGGGATTTGGTTCCAAAATCAAAATTCATGGATATTTAAGTCCCATTACATAAAATGGCATAGTAAAATGGTGTTTCTTATATAAAATGGTGAACAACTCAAACGAGTGCTGGCGTGAGTCCCAAGAATCAGTGAAATGGAGGGAAGCTACAGCAGGGTACAAGTAGATACCGGCATAATGTATGGCAAAATCATGTTTTGGTGGGGGTTTTGGGGAAATTTCCCTCAAATATATTTAGACAAGTGGTTGGCTGAAACTGTGGATGCACAACCTATCAATATGGAGGGCTGGCTGTGCATCACATTTGCCTCTGTTCTCTCTCTTTATCAATGAAGCATTTTGCCGTATGTTATAAGACATATATAAGACATGATGTCTCGATCATAAAACCATTGAAGGGGTTTCTTTCTCCCTCCCCCAACCCCCAGGGTTTGGAGTTGCTGGGGAGTAGGTGGAAGACATAAATAGCTGCTTTTGCGGATGGGTTTCAACTGTTTTGACCTATGTTCAGGAAAAAAGAAAGAAAAAAATTGTAGGGGAAATTTTAATTTTTTAAAGAGGAGGAGACAGGAGTTGCTATGGAGGGGTAAGAAGCTACAATATGGAGCTCATGAGACTTTCCTCTCCTCTGATCTCATCTAGGCCCCGGTCAGTGCAGAAAATCCACAACTATACCATCTTATGATAGATGAACCATGCAAAATTTGTTTAAGAGTTTGCATCCAAGAGGACCTGTCCATCTTCTGAAGCAGTAAAACATATTTTTATTTCTGGGAGTTCTTCCTAATGCATAGTCTAGTCTACTTTTTCAGCAATTAAATCTGTTATTGATGTCTTACCCTTTGAAGTGGCAAGAAACAAGCTTGCTTCATATTCTGTATCAGAAATGAATACAGGCAGTCCCCAAGTTATGAACAAGATAGGTTCTGTAGGTTTGCTCTTAAGCATGTAAGTTGGAACAGGTACATTTTTAAAGTGTAACTCCACACACACACACACCATTTTGGATAGCTTGTTTGTGATTTGGAAATGTTGTGAAATGTTGGAGTGTATGCAGGAAGTGACTTGTAAGACATAGTTTCCCTAAATACTTGATAGCGAGAAATCCACTTCTGAGGATTGAACGATTATTATTATTATTATTATTATTATTATTATTATTATTATTATTTCTATCCTGCTTTAGCTATAAAAAGACCCAAAACAGCTAAAAAGACTGATTCATGTAAGTCTTGGGCTGTGGATGCTCAAATGTGTGCGTGTCATCTATGATTTCCCAATCCAAAGATGTAGATTGACAACTGTGAGTGTACTATTGTGAAAGGTCAGAATTTAGACAGGCTTTGCATTAATTTCTGTATGAAAGGCATATGCAGAACAGTTCTGTTCTTCTTCTACAAACAACAAAACCTTAATTAAAAAAACTTCATAATTTTGGAGATTCAATCAATGTAACATTTATATACAACTGGTAAAAGTATTCTGCACAAAAGTTTGAAACATTAAAGACTTCAAGCAAAGTTACACAGCTGTCAGAGCTGGAAACATCATGCATACCCTGAGTAAATAAAACAATGGCTAGGTAACATTCCTAGACCCACTTCCTGTTATGCTACACTTCTACAGCTGTGTGTGAGAGGGATTTGCCCACTCCATGCTCTTAAATTCTTTTTTTTGTTATGTTATGTTGTTGTGACCTTGGTTTTGGATTTCAGTCTGCTGAGGTTAAATAGCTTGCCATCTGTCCGATAGATGATTTTCACTCCGGTGGGAACCTTCCCATCAACAAGATGAAGTATCAGAGTGATGAAGATGGAAAATAAATTTGGGGCAATAACACATCCCTGTTTGACACCTGATTCCACCTTAAATGGGTCACTTTGGGAGCCATTGCTGTCCAAGACCATTGCCACCATGTCATTGTGGAGGAGCCTCAGGATTTTCACAAATTTCTCAGGGCACCTGATTTTTTGGAGGATGGTCCAGAGAGCACTGCGATTCACTGTTTTAAATGCCTTTGCAAGGTCAATGAAAGCAATGTACAGAGGTTGATTTTGTTGCCTGCATTTTTCTTGGAGCTGCTGTGCAGCGAAGATCATGTCCACGGTTCCTCTGGAGGGGCGGAAGCTTTTTCTGAGAGGGTGCCTTCTGTTATAGGAGTCCAATATGCTGATGATAATGTAGTCTGTGCACATTCAGAAGACCTACAAGCCACTCTAAACACCTTTGCAGAAGCATACGTGAAACTCGACCTCTCAATGAACATCAAGAAAACCAAAGTGTTCTTCCAGAAGTCACCAGCCAATCCCTCTTCAATGTCAGAAATACAGCTTAATGGTGTAACTTTAGAAAATGTTGAGCATTTCTGCTACCTTGGCAGCCACCTCTCCACAAAAGTCAACATTTAGCATCGCCTGACCTCTGCAAGTGCAGCATTTTCCCGAATTATGCAGAGAGTGTTTGAGGATCGGGATATCTGTAGAAATACCAAGGTGCATGTTTATAAAGATATTGTCCTCCTAACCCTGCTATATGCCTGCAAAACGTGGACTGTTTATAGACATCACACACAACTCCTGAAAAGATTCCATTAGCGTTGCCACTGAAAAATTGTGCAAATCTCTTGGGAAAACAGGCAGACAAATGTCAGCGTGCTGGAAGAAGCAAAGACCACCAGCACTGAAGCGCAATGTCATCAACTCCACTGGACTGGACACATTGTCCGAATGCCCGATCACCATCTCCCAGTTACTATACTTCCAACTTAAGAATGGAAACTGGAATGTTGGTGGACTGGAAAAGAGACTTAAAGATGGGCTTAAAGCCAACCTCAAAACTGTGGCATAGACACTGAGAATTGGAAAGTTCTGGCCCTTGAGTGCTCTAACTGGAGGCCAGCTGTGACCAGCAATGCTGCAGAATTCGAAGAGACACAAATGGAGGATGAAAGGGAGTAATGTGCAAAGAGGAAGGTGCATCAATCCAACCCTGATCGGGACCGCCTTCCACCTGGAATCTCTTTGCGGGAGAACATGCAGATCAAGAACAGGTCTCCATAGCCTCCTATGGACCCACTGCCAAGACACTACACTTGGAGGACCATCATCCTCGGGCTACGAGGATCACCTAAGTAAGTAAGTAACAAAAAATAGCACTTTGATGTCCCTGTAACAACAATGGTTGCATCCAAGGAAATCCTGGAATTTATAGTTTGGTGAAGCATTAGAGCTCCCAAGCAGAAAAGTTTAAATATAATGCAAAAGAGACTTGTACGAGTCAACTATAAACCTATAAACTTCTGCTACCTGGTGGCTTACTGTGAAATAGCAGGATCCAAATATATTTTTTGAGAAACCATTTACCACTGGGGCCCACTCTAGAATCCCTTTACCCCACACGTCAAATTTCGGAGCTGCTATTTGATCTATTGCTCTGACAGATACACAGACAACCTGTTTTGTTACAAATAAAACTAAGGTCTTGGCTGTACTTATGCACTCTTTTCATCACAGCATTTAGCATATCAAATCCCAGAGTATTCTTTTAAACTCCCAATGTCTTTTTCTTTATTAACCTCATGTGTGACCTTGGGTAAGTCATCTATGGTGTATTTGGGTTAACCTGATTTCTATACTGGCATACTATATAGTGTTCAAATAGCCTTCCCACGATTACTTCCACACCAAAAGAATTGTCAAAGGGAGTTTAGATCTCAATGCTAACTGGCAAAGTGGCCAAAGGCTACCTAAATGTACCATAATCCAGGTGTTGTTGGACTAAATCTAAACACTTCCCAGCCTCAGGATTTTAGAAATGACATAGGACTACCCGCTGTCTGGTTTAATTTTATGATGTTCTTATAGTTTTATCTCTGGACTTAAGATAGTTGGGACTTCAGTGCTTTTCTTCCCCATCACTCTTTTTATCTCTTCTGCATGAAGATCTTTGCCAACAGAGCAGTTTTTCTTGCAGATTGTTCTGTTGACAGATCTCTGAGATTTGTACATAATCCTCTCACCTAAGTCACATCTTTGAGTTAGGACTGCATCATTAGTCTCTAGTTCACTTCATTGGAGATGTGGAGTTGTCAGAATCTGAATGTTAATTATGACAGTTATATTGGCAGTATTTTCTGTATGCATTTCATCCCCCTTCTGTCTTCACTATATAGAATTAACCCCCTTCCTCAGCCACCATATGCCCTATAGATACAAATAGGGAATTCTGGATAACAGTTTATCTCCAAGTCCAGGTCTCTTTGTCCTTGGCTGATATTGTTGACCAATGACAAGAATTGAACCCAAGACCTTCCTTTTGCAATTGGTCTGCTTGGTTACATTATGAAATAATTAAAAGAGCATAGAAAGCACCTTGCTGGGTCAGACCAAACAAATATCTAGCTTGGCATTTTGTTGCTACAGTGGTCAACTAGGCATCTTTGAGAAGTCCATGAGGGGAATTTGAGCACAAAACCATCCAACTCTGTGACCAGCACTCAGAACTCAACATCAGTAATATATCTAATGGCTGGAAGCCATTGAAAGCATTATCTTCCACTTGGATTATGATGAAGCTTTGAGCCACAAGCCCTTTGTATCAATTTGTATGTCCATAATAAAATCTTCCATCAAATTGCTATTAAACAGCCAGTGAACTGGCAGGACCTGTCACTAAGCAAGAAGAATGAGGATGTGGTAGAGTGAATGAAGCCAGTGAACCATTTTAGTCTCATGGCCCATATTTTGAAAGAAGTCAAGAATTTCCTAAAGCGCTTCCAAACATCTATGAGTTATCAGTCCTCGCGAATTCACTCATGAGCCAGGATTTGAAACCATGCTGCGTGAAAATTTGATGAACAGGTTTGCAAGATACAGAAGGTTGCTTATCTGTGTTAATAAGAGCGAGAAAATCTGGAGCCATTTATGATTAAGCCAGAAATATCAGACAACAGCTTCAGTGTAGGAAGACTGAGAAGGCAGGTCAGGTGCAAACTATGTTTCTTTGCTGTCGTTGTGTTCAAAAGCAGGGCTGTGGTTTGGCATTTTCTTTATGGCTTTGTGTTCATCGGCTGGGACTTGAGTTACTTTGCCATTTCGTTTCCTTCCTAGTGACTTTTTGTGGGCTGTGAAGAGAAAAATAAACATAGGCATTAGCCAGAGGACAGGGCATTCTGGGATCACAGTGGCATTGGCATTCCAATCTGGGAATCTCTGGCATTCTATTGAATAGTCAAGAATGCGTATTTTAGACTTATGCATAATATTTCATAGCACTATTGGCGTGATCTCATCCACCCCACAAATACAACTTATCACCAGCTGATGGAGATCTATTCTGTTGTGAAGTGAGGTGCAGCAGGATGATGTTTGAGACTTCCTTCCACTAGTGATCTGCAGTGGAATGAAAAGTTGTGACAGAGGTCCTTCTTCTGATTGTTGCGTTGCAGATTGTGGATGGGAGCAGGCTGCAAATATCATCCTGCTGCACCCCACTTTCCAGCAAACAAGTCTACATATGGCAGTGTGGACTCAGATAGCCAATTCAAAGCAGATATTATGGGATTTCCTGTCTTGATAGTCTGGGTTGTATGGCTGTGTGGAAGGGCCCTGAGCTCCAAGCACACAAGTAGTTTGCTTTCAGTTAATTCAGTAGGGAAGCGTGTGGATCTTGCCCTTCCCTGACCCCGCTGACAGCCCCTCTCCACCCCCCTCCCCCCCAAAAAAGGGTCCCGAAACCCAGGTTGAGAAACATTGCATTAGAGTGTCTAGAGAAAACATTTCCAATCAGATCCATGAATCATCAAATATGTAAAAGTCAAAACTGCAAATTTGGAGGGATGACTTGTAGTCTGATTTAGGATGGCAATTCTTACGCTCTTATCAGGAATCCAAAGAGTCTCACACAGTACCTTTTTCAAGCTCTATTGACAAGAGCAGAAGCTTGTTAAACACGTCATTCCCATTAGGAATTAGTAGCAATATTTTCCACAAAGAGCTGGTCAACATGGCCTCTCTCATATATATATATATATATATATATATATATATATATATATATATTTGACTGCACAAATACAAAGCAGTGTTTAAAAAGCTAACAAGCAAAGGTGCCTTCAATGCCCAACCTTATCAATTTCCTTCTTAGTCACACCTGTAGGAAATACCTGTACAACACATTCCATTGTTAGGGGATTGCCACCTCTATGGGGCCTGACTTAAAAAATAAACACTGCTTGTGTGAAAATGTTTCCCTCTGCAAATCAATAGCGCTGGCAGAGAGTATTTGGTCTGTTCTGTCAATCAACATTTCTTAGGCAAGGCTAAGCAAACACAAGTTGTGTATCTATTACACCTACTCACCTTAAAAGTTGTGAAGTCTCTCGCCTTTCCAAGTGTTTGGCTCTGGCTAACCTTTTGCGGAAGGTCCAACCAGACCTAAGGTTCAAGTACGTGCCTTATCATGTCCAAGCAATATCGCTCTGGACAAACATTTGCGCAGTGGAATTGAGTTAGCAGGAATTGGTATCTCTGAATTATGCAAGGGAAAATAGATCTAATCCCACTCATTGTTTCTTTCTCAAATGAACCAACTTCTTTCTCAATTTGTCAAAGTTTGGCAGGCAGGCAAGAAGGTTAGTAAAGTCCTATAAGAGCTAAAAGGATGTATCAAAAGAGCTAAGCAGAGAAATATCTGGGAAGCAATTAATCAGGTCACTGGAAGAGCAAGGTCTGAATTCACACAGGCAAGGGATTTTTCCCATTACCAGGCACGTGGGTTCTAGAATCCATACTAGCATCATGTCTAAACATGAACAGCTGTCCAATGACATAAGATGGTTTATTTTGACAACCTTGCTAGGCAGTTTATGATCTAACCTAGCAATACAAGCATATAGCAGAGTAAACTTTCCACTTAGCAACTTTCTGATATTGTTCTCGTTATCAGGAGGAAGGATAGTTCACACCTGTATAGTTTACCTTTGTTCGTTTTGGCCCATTGCAGAAGAACATTTACAAGTGACCTTGCATTCTAGGGAAATGACTGTATTCCAACCCAATGATTCCATTATCCAGCCATAGGGCTTTGCAATGCAATATATTGGGGCAGGTCACATTTTCTCAGCTTCAGACACAATGGCAAATTCCTTCTGAACAAATCTTGTCAAGACAACCCTATGACAGGGCCATCTAAGGGTTGCCATAAGTAAAAAAGGATTTGAGGGCACAAAACCAAAACCACCACAATTTTTTTTTGTTACAGGAGTAATATCCAAATGAGCCCGTACCTTGGGAAGCCTGACTTGGCCACGGTAATCCATGCTCTAGTCACATACCGTTTAGACTACTGCAATGCTCTCTATGTGGGGTTGCCTCTGAAGACTGCTCGGAAGCTTCAAATGGTCCAACGATCGGCAGCCAGGATGTTAACAGGAGCGGCATTCAGGGAGCATACCACTCCACTGCTGCGCCAGCTCCACTGGCTGCCAATTTGCTACCGGGCAGAATTCAAAGTGCTGGCTTTAGCCTTTAAAGCCCTAAACGGTTCTGGCCCGACCTACCTGTCCGAACGCATCTCCTCCTATGAACCAGTTAGGACATTAAGATCGTCTGGGGAGGCCCTGCTCTCGATCCCGCCGGCTTCACAAGCACGCCTGGCGGGGACGAGAGACAGGGCCTTCTCAGTGGTGGCCCCTCGGCTGTGGAACGCCCTTCCTGCAGACATTAGATCGACCCCCTCCTTGCTGGCATTCCAGAGGAAAGTAAAGACCTGGCTGTTTGAACAGGCATTCGACTAAGCAGTGTGATTGATTGACTGACTATCGGAACACGGAATATCGGATAACGAGTTTGGATTCTGATTTCATTGATGAGACCTGATGGATTTGTTATATTGATGTAGTGATGTATTGATATTGATGTTTAATGATTTGTGATGCTATTGCTTTTAAATGCTTAATGATTTTGTATTGTGTATACCTAAATTGTTGTAAACCGCTCTGAGTCGCCTAAGGGCTGAGAAGAGCGTTATACAAATAAAGTAAATAAAGTAAATAATAAATAAATATATAGTTTGTGTGAAAACACCCTTGCCCATTCCTCCTGCACCATCTTTACACGACTACCTATAAATTAATCCATAAGCAATGGGGAAGAAACATTCTTAAAAATGCTATCCTAACAACAATAACAGCAACAACAACACAACTTTATCTGTATTCCACCCTGTCTTGGTCCTATAGGGATCTAGACTCAGTAGGCAGGTGTGATGGTTAGTAAAGTCCTATAAGAACTAAAAGGATGTATCAAAAGAGCTTAGCAGAGAAATATCTGGAAAGCAATTTTTACTAATTGCTTTCCAGATATTAAATATATTTTTGGTTATATAAATCTGACATTCTGAGCCATATTCTTGTACCTTTTGTCCAGGATTTGTGTTCCCTTTTCCGCTTTCTTTGTGATCTCTGGATGTCCTCAGTTAAGCAGCAGGATTTCTCTTTTATGGAAACTCCCTGGAGGTTTTCATCTTCACAAGTACTAACCATCTGTGCAAATGAGAGAAGGTTGGCTCAGGCAGGTTTCTGAAAACATGCAACATAATTGTTCTGTAACCAGCATGGTGCAGTGGCTTGAGTGTTGGACTAGGACACTGGGGACTTGGTTTGACACCTTGCTTGGCCATAGAAACACATTGGGTGACCTTGGGCAAGCTAAGCTCTCTCAGTCCTAGGCAAACCACCTCTGTACCAAGCTTACTAAGAAAAACCTTTAGTAGGCTCATCTTGGGGATGCCATAAATTACTTGAAGGCACACAATGGCAGCAATGTTTGCGCCCAAACCACCTTCAGTAAAAATACTACTCATGTTCTACACTAGCCAAATGAGATCTGGCCAGAAAACAAAAAGAAGAGGTGTTTTCAGGCTGACTCAAGCCAAATGTAGCATGTTGTCCAAATGTCCTGATTTAGAATGCATAGTCACAATTAATCCCTGCTTTCCAGAGTTGTAGGGTGCATCTATATGGTAGAACGAATGCAGTTTGACACCACTTTAACTCCTATGGTACAATGCAGTTTTACAAAGTTTCTAGCCTTCTTTTTCAAAGGGTGTTGCTGTTGTACCAAACTACGAATAGCATTGAGCCATGCCAGGTAAAGTGATATCAGACTGCATTTATTCTACAGTGTAGAGCCAGCTGTAGTCACTGGTCTCTAGAGCAATGGCTGACATTATTTGCAATAATTTGGCCTGTTTTTTTTTTTTTTGAAATGGTCTGGTTTTAACTCAGTATTGACTTAATATTTATATATTAGTCTTTTAAAAATGATTATTATTTATTGTTTTCGATTGATTTAATTTATTTATTTATTTATTTATTTATTATTATTACTGCACTTGTATACCGCCGTTTCTCAGCCTAAATTGGCGACTCAACGCAGTTTACAACTCTGCAAACAATCACAATATTCAGTTTAAAATGCATAAAAACAACATACAATACATAATATTGGGCCACCAATATAATCCAATGCATCTCTAATTGTGAGCTGCCTCGAGATCTTTGGATACAGGGAAGGACAGAAATGTTTTAATAAATAAAAAAATGTATATTTTGTGTATCATTTTTTAAATTCACTGCTTATACAATAGTTGTCAAATATTATAGGCAAATAATACAATATAGAATCATAGAATCAAAGAGTTGGAAGAGACCTCATGGGCCATCCAGTCCAACCCCCTGTCAAGAAGCAGGAATATTGCATTCAAATCACCCCTGACAGATGGCCATCCAGACTCTGTTTAAAATATATAGATATAATATATCTTACTGGTTTCTAACCACTGTTATATGCCCTGAAATGGCAGAATCACTGTTGCTTTATCTTTTAAAACATTAAACATGAAACTCTTTAATTATGTGTGTGTGTGTGTGTGCGTGTGTGTGTGAATGAGAGAAAAGGAAACAAACCTCACTATCTGACATATCAGACTCTGATTCTTCCTTCACTGACTCAGAATCTCCATCAGCTAAAGAAAACAAAGGCAGGCAGTAGATTAGATGTAGGTGAAACATCAGTCTGTAACAACCACAACAACCAGGTATGATAATTAAAAAGATAGCACAATGTGCATAAATTAGAACTAAACATACTGGGATATGAAATGCTAGCCATGTTAGATGATTCTGGAGTTGGCTAGCACTCCATATCCCAATATGTTTGGTTTTGGTATATGTAGGACCGAAAGAAGCTTCGAGCAGAATGCCTCAAACTTACACAACCCATGTTTCTGTATATCATTTGCTGGATAGAGGGTGACATTCCTATCAAGGTCTATTGGGGAACTTCTCACACACATCTAAACTGATTACAAAAGGAGAGCCGGTGTGCTGATTTGAATGCTGACACTGGGAAACCAGAGTTTGAATTCCCACTTGGCTGTGGAAACCTATTGGTTGATCTTGTACTTGTCTCACTTTCTCAGCTTTAGAGGAATGTAAGGACCTTCTTGCCCACAACACATTCTGCTAAGAAACCCCTGTGATAAGTTTGTCTTAGGGCTGACATAGGTGGTTTGTTTTTTTTGTCGTGTCAGGAGCGACTTGAGAAACTGCAAGTCGCTTCTGGTGTGAGAGAATTGGCTGTCTGCAAGGATATTGCCCAGGGGACGCCCGGATGAATTGATGTTTTTATCATCCTTGTGGGAGGCTTCTCTCATGTCCCCGCATGAGGAGCTGGAGCTGATAGAGGGAGCTCATCCGCCTCTCCCCGGATTTGAACCTGCGACCTGTTGGTTTTCAGTCCTGCCAACACAGGGGTTTAACCCACAGTGCCACCGGGGGCTCCATAAGTGGTAAAATGACATAAAAGCACACAGCGACGGTGACAACACCAACAACAAAAATCACACTTTCTTAGCTTTAGAGGAATGAAAGAACATCCACTGCCAACAAATTCTACAAAAGTTGTTAAGTTTGTTTAGGGGTGATATCAGTGGGAAATGACATGAAGAACTAGAATAGGATCTGCATATAGCTGGACCTGATCTATATTAGAGGCCTTCCAGTTTCCCTGGGGAGTCATCTGGACCATAGTATACCAGGAAACATTACAAGGAAACAGCCACAATAAAATCTTCATGTTTCTCCACCCACAAGCACACCCAGAGAGTACAGTCAGCACTCCACATTTGTGGGGTTAAGGGCACTGGACCTCCATGAAAGTAGAAAACTGCAAATAAAGAAATTGCTATTTTTTTACCAGAATAAAACCCCACATTTTCTGCTTTGAACTGGAATATATGACAGTGTGGGCTCAGATAACCAAGTTCAAAGCAGATATTGTGGAATTTTCTGCCTTGATATTCTGGGATATAGGGCTGTGTGGAATATTTAGGTCTCCCAGCACGACTCAGTGATCAATGTTTGCTGGAAACTGGCTACAGAATTGCATCGGAGGATCTAGATTAATCTAGAGACTTTCTCTCTAGAAATCCCCAGGTCCAAAATGACTGAAGGAAATTGACCTGAGTCAGACTAGAGGACCTAGAGATTCTTATCAAGCCCATACATAAACAAAAGTCAAAGCCATAAATGTTGAAGGACAAATGTCATCAGCTGAAAGATACTTGTGCTTTGGGTAAATCTCTTTATAGTAAAAGGTAAAGTTTTCTCCTGACATTAAGTTCAGTCATGTCCAACTCTGGGGAGTGGTGCTCATTTCCATTTCTAAGCCAAAGAGCTGGCATTGTCAATAGACAGCTCCAAAGTCGGCAAGTTCAGCAGCTCAATTGTTTAACCTGCTGCGCCACAAGGGGACCGTAAATCTCTTTATATACAAACCAAAATGCTGGCTACCATTTAAAAAAGTGTCTTCTACTAACACAAAATCCTGATTTTCTAATGTATGTTCGGTATACCCAAAATGTTCTGACACTTGCAACTGTCAATTCAGCAAGACCATCCCTGCTTTCCAGCTAAGCCTGCAGAACTGGTATACCAAAATGACTTTTCTATTTATAGATAAAACATACCCCTTTCTCCTTATATGAAAGAAACCCATTTTGTTAAAGTGCTCAAAAAGTGTGTGGGAGAGAGGTTTCACATATTCATAAGGCAAACAAGCTTTTAAAGTAAAGAAATAAAAAAAAAGTTTGTGGTTTCTGGCTGGATCAGTCATATGGCATTTCTCCTTGTTGTATGTCTGCAGCTCGATATACAGCATATGCTTCAGCTGCCAAAGCCTAAAGTTAAATCTCTGGAATCTTTAGAGATAGGAAACACCTCCACCTGAGATTCTGGAAAACTGCTGACAGTAGAAATAGATAGCACCTGGCAACTGGATTATTCTGGGAAAAGTTGTCAAGATGCAGTGGGTGCATCTACACTGCAGTATTAATGCAGTGTGACACCATTTCCACTGCCATAGCTCAATGCTGTGGAATCCTGAGATTTGTAGTTTGGTGAGACACCACCATCCTTTGGCCAAGAAAACTAGTAAAACTACAGCTCCTAAGATTCCATATTATTGAGCCATGGCTGTTAAAGTGGTGTCAACCTTCATCAATTCTAGTGTGTGGATGCATCTTATAACTGAACAAAGTTGCTAAGGCTACAATCTTGCACAGTTCAGCACAGTGTAGGAGTTGCACATGAAGAATCTATGCCAAGCCACTGACCATTCTCTGGATCTATCATATTTCTGCTTATGCTCCTCTCCATGGCCATTTGTGCATGGAAAAGAGTTATTGGGGAAACTGTAGAAGTATTTGGCTGTGTCCCTGTATCCAGAAGCAAAGTGACCACATAATAATAATAATAATAATAATAATAATAATAATAATAATAACAACAACAACAACAACAACAACAACACTTTATTTGTACCCCGCTACCATCTCCCCAAGGGAGTCGGTGCGGCTTACATGAGGCCGAGCTCAAATACAACAATACAAGCAATAAAACAACAATACAAGCAATGAAAACAAAAAAAAACAAAACAAAAAAACAACATAAACAATAAAATATACAACATTATAAATAAGACAACACACAGTTAAAAACAGTGGGAAGGCCAAATGTAAAGTTAAAATTGGAAGTAATGCTGGGACGTGGACAAAAATGTGGTAATGGTGTTTGTGGAAGGGCATACGAGCAGACCTAAAGAAATGTAAAGTGCTTTGGAGGACAAAGTGCTATGAGATCATTATTCCGGGAAGGCACACTGGAACAGCCACATCTTCAAGCTCCTCCTGAAGACTTCCAGAGTTGGGGCCTGTCTGGTGTCTTTAGGGAGTGAGTTCCAGAGTCGAGGGGCCACCACCGAAAAGGCCCTCTCTCTCATCCCCACCAATCGCGCCTGCGATGCTGGTGGGATTGAGAGCTGGACCTCTCCGGATGATCGAAGGGATCGTGTGGGTTCTTATATGGAGATGCAGTCACGCAGGTAGGTGGGTCCCAAACTGTTCAGGGCTTTGTAGGTAAGAATCTGCACCTGCTGAGGTCCTCCAGGGTCTTCTAGACATATAAAAATCTGAGTTCATCATTTCACACTGGGCTATGGGAACATAACCAGATTTGCCTGTGATTTCCTCCACCTATTCTTCTTCAAGAATGAATGACTGTGAGTCAGGGGCTTCAGCAGCAATATGAGAGATATGGAGGTACTTTCACTGCAGTGAAGAAAGGAATACAAACTTCTGCAGTGGCCCGAAACAGACATATGAAGGTTTGAGGGTAACTGGGGTGTTGCTCACAAAATGCCAGGTCAAGTGTGCAACTAAATGCATGACCAAATCCGCTTCCTCAATAATGAACTGAATGCAGGTGTTCCCCATCAAACAAAAATATCCAACTGCTTCAGAAAATGATACAGTTGAGAAATCCACAAAGTTCCAACCATTGGTCACAGGCTAATGTCAGAAATATCTAGTTTTCAACCTGAATGACATACTGGAGATCATAGATGGGCAAACATCTTAAGCCACATACGGGTAAAATTCAGCCTAAGGAAAAGCTTGGAAGAAGACCATAATTTAATTGGAAAAAATAAAGTGGCTTAAAGTATTTCTATTGCTATTAACTGTTTCCAGAAGATCTATACCCAGGATACTTCTGGTATTATGTCTGATTTGTCCCTAATATCTTTGTTGTTTACATATACCTTTATATCTCACTTTCCCCCTAATATGGCCCCTTGGTGGTGCAGCGGGTTAAACTGCTGAGCTGCTGAACTTGCTGACCGAAGATCGGCAGTTCTGATTTGGGGAGTGGGGTGAGCTCCTGCTTTTAGCCCCAGCTTCTGCCAACATAGGAGTTTGAAAACATGCAAATGCAAATAGATCAATAAGTACCGTCTTGGCAGTAAGGTAACAGTGCTCCATGCAGTCATGCTGGCCACATGGCCTAGGAGGTGTCTCCAGACAATGCTGGCTCTTTGGCTTAGGAATGAAGATGAGTACCACCCCCCAGAGTTGGACATGACTAAACTTAATGTCAAGGGAAACCTTTACCTTATCCCAAATGAACCCAAAGCAGCTTACAAGGATGAAACCTCCCAGCTTTCATCCTTGGTCACTGAGAAAAAATGACTTTCATATGCCTCTGGTGATTGAATCCATTCCTCCCAAGTCCTAGGTTAACACTCTGCTATACCAGCTGATGTAACATGAGCTGTGTGAGCTGATCTACCCAGCACACAACTGCTATCTAAAAGCAATCCTATAGTTCACAAAGCTCAAAGCCACCCTTGCCCTAGCATCCTCTTTTTGACAACTCCAGTTCTTATTCTATTTTACCTGGTTGGTCTGTTTCTCCATTCTTTGTTTTAAAAGGCATCTCTGTCTCAGAATCAGCCTGGTCATCATATGAGTTTGGCTTGGAAACAGGACGTTCTTGCTGTAAAGAATTCTGCAAAAATTCCAAAGTGATATTGTGGTTGAATATGTTATAAATAGTACATCTAAACTAGGCTATTACATGAGTTCAATACTTCTTTTAAGTGTCATGCCTCCATGCAGCAGAATCTTAGGGTTGTTATTGACATATCCTCCAATGTTTCACTGGTGGAAACTGGGAAATATCTGACCAAGCAATGTCCTATGCAAGATAGGAAAGGCTGCAGCAGTTTAATTCTGCCTGAATCTACAGGGAAGGGCAAGAATCCGGCCTCCTGCTCTCCTGTCTCTGCTGTTGAGTTAATTGAGCGCAAACTACTTCTGGGCTTTGAACTCAAGTTGCCGCAATTGAACTAAGTGAAGGACAAAGGGAGGAATTGTGATGAAAAAAGTTAAAAGCTCAAAGCTGAAAAAATGGAATGTCAGAGGATTAATAGGGACTATCTCTGCCAAACTGGAAAGGTTGGAAGATGTATTTGTTTGTTTATTTACTACATTTTTACCCTGCTCTATCTCACCCCAAAGGAGACACAGAGTGGCTTCCAAATTGGCAACAATTCAGTGACATACAAACAAACATACAGGTGCAGTAAACATATACCTTAGAACCATAAAATTAAATTAAATTATAAATTAAATTAAATTAGAGTTAAATTAAATTAAAACAACAGATATGCATTGAGCCTGAATATCCCAATGATGCTCAACTGCAATGTGATGCTTCACAATGAGTCCATTCCCATTTTGCAGATTTTTTTTTGTCATGTCAGGAGTGACTTGAGAAACTGCAAGTCGCTTCTGGTGTGAGAGAATTGGCTGTCTGCAAGGACGTTGCCCAGGGGACGCCCGGTTGATTTGATGTTTTTATCATCCTTGTGGGAGGCTTCTCTCGTGTCCCCGCATGAGGAGCTGGAGCTGATAGAGGGAGCTCATCCGCCTCTCCCCAGATTTGAACCTGCAACTTGTCGGTCTTCAGTCCTGCCGGCACAAGGGTTTAACCCACTGCGCCACCGGGGGCTCCATTTTGCAGATGACATGGGTAGAGATAGGAACTGATGTGATGGAGCATATACTTTTTTGGACCTTGTTTTGCGAGTAAAATGGGGTATAATCATATAAATAAATACAAATAAATAAATTTACCTAACAGTTTCTGAGTACATCATTCACTTAAAATGTTTCCCAGATAGTTGGGCTGGAAACATTGGCAGAAATAGCTCTCTGGTTGTATAGTACAGTCTGACACAGTACGAGACACATACATACATTAAAGGAAGTTGGGTTCAAGTCCAGTCTCCACTAGGCATTGGGAATGACCAAAGTCCTAATAGCTTGCTGATAGGACACATCCCCACTAGTGAATTCATTATGATGCTCAGACAACAAGGTTTGCTGTTGTTTCTTCCTTGCTTGCTCAAAAGTGGTAAAAGGGGGATGTTCTATACCTGGATACTTTTTGGACTCACATTTTAAATTGGGGAGATAGGGGAAACTGAGTCACATAAGCATCAGTTTGGGGGAAGAATGTATGAGTTTCATAAATCTAAGATCTATGAACCCAAAACCAACTGACAGATGACTTAGACTCCCACTAGATGTGTTGGCTTGGGCAGTGCCCAGTCTTTCCCAGACAGCACAGCTATCCTTTACTATTCAAAAACATAATCCATATTAGAGCAATATTAGATATGCCAACCAAATGGGCACAGACATCTTTGCAAACTTTGAATTCTTTAGATCTCTTCACCAGGCAAGATGTTTTCATAAAAGGGGAAGGAGAGCAGACTATGGGGAAGCGTGATGCCTGAAGTCATGACCTCTGTATAATGAGAAGGAAGGATCTGTTCTTTGTTGACTCTCAAACACAGTTCACCGTATTAAATGATGATGTTAACTTTTGCCTAGAAGACTTCTTAGGCTTGTAGGGGAAAGGGGAAAAAAGATTAATGATATTTCCCTATTTAAATAAATGTGTGTTCAATTATTTAGCAAGGAGATTAAAAATGCCCTTCTGTATTGTTTTAATGTGCCCTTTTGAAGTCATTTCCATAGTGAACATGCCTCTTAAAAAGCTTTTCCTCCATCTGATTTTTGGGCAGTCTTCCTCTTCTGTTACAGTTTTATATAACATACGTAGATGGCAAGTTTCAGTAGGTTTGTTTAAATCTTTAGGAATATCTTTCGAAAGGCAATAAACTGTGTTTAAAACCAATTTTGGGAGGTATCATCCTCATACTCAATCATCACAACAATATAACCCTTGTTAAGCAGGCCAATACACTAGCAAACACAACTGAAATGCCATTTAAACCCATATGCAAGAAACTGCTTCATGGTATGACTTCCATATCCGTAGGGGATATGTTCCTGGACTTACAGTGGAAATATAAAACTGTATATATTAGGGAACACTGTTAAAATGAACTACTTCCAATGGATGCATACCACATAATTGTGCTGGTGGATCTAGAATAGGCATGGACAAACTTTGGTACTCTAGATGTTTTGGATGTCAACTCCCACAATTCCTAACAGCTTACCAAAGCTGGTAGGAATTGTGGGAGTTGAAGTCCAAAATACGATCTTGAATATGCCTAGAGAGCACACCTCTCTAGTATTTCAAGGTCCTCTAGTGCAACTTCTGACAGAAGCATACCATGAAATTGCACTGGAAAACTTAGAAAATGCTTACAGAGAACAGCTCTCTAGTATTTCTAGGTCCTCCTAAATAAATCTATGGTTAACCTCCAACAGAAACTTACCATATAATGACACTGCCAAACCTAGAGAGAAAACACTTTTTTTAAATATGGGTATGTGAAATTATGGGTTTCTGGTGGCATAATATATGGAAGAAGAAGGTGATTGAATAGAAACACATGAACTACTGGAGACAGCTATCTAGACATACATACAGACAGATATTTTCTTACTGGAGATGCCGGAATGTCTTGGGTTTTGTTGGAGTGCTGCTCCGAGTCTTTGCTCCTGTGGAGATTCTTAGCCTCCTGGAGCCAGCCAGACACAAAAGACTTCTGAAGAAAAGACTCTTCACTCTGGTCTCTGCTTGGACTTCCAGCTTCATGCTTTGTGAACATCTGCTGCAAACTAGTCTGCTTCAAGTTCTCCCTTCCTCTCCCAGAATCTGATAGGTCCAGTGGAGCTTCAGTGAGATAGTCTCTCATGGCCTCTGCCTTTTCTTCTTGCTCCAGTTCTTCCCTATCGATCAAGAGCAATCTCCCGAGTGTCCCATTTGTTGCATCATCCAAACAGGGTCTCTCTCTTTTGAATACCTTGCCAACTCTTGGCAATGGAGAAGGCAGTTGACATTGCGTACTTTCCAGACTGTCCTCCATTTTAGCCCTACATTCTTGCTGCTGCGCCAATAAATAGTGCAACTTTTCTTGCTGACTAAGGAACTGGAGTCTGTTCTCCAAATGACGGTCCTTCATGTACACTACGGCACCAGGGAGATCCAAGATGGTGGCCTGGTCTTCCCACTCATCTTGAGATCGTGTTCTGCCCCCTGCCTCTCTGGCCATTAGTAAGTGGTGTGGGAAACCACCCTCCTTGCTGATGGAGTTATTCCGAAGTCCAAGGTGACGCAGGGCGAAATGTTGGTTGAGGAGGCAGAGTTGCTCTTTTCTGGTGGCAAACTTCAGAGTCTCGTAAGATGAAGCAATTTCATGGCAGTCTGATTGGCTAGCCCTTAGATAGCTGAAAATACAAACACCATTATCTCTACCATTGAAATATCTATCAGAAGTAACAATCCTAAACAATACAATATGTCTCTGTTTTCCATCTTTGACAACATTTTTACGTATTCGAAGCAGAAGGCAGAAGGGGTGATGTTAACACCCGAGTGCTCCATTACAACTCTTCTCCCTCTTTTCTCTCTAGTTCTAGGTCCTCCAGCATAAATCCATGGTCAATGTCCATGGAACTGATCACAGAATTTCAACAGAGGACCTAGAAACTCCCAGAGATAATATTTCAGTCAAATCCACAAAAGTTAACTCTGCAAGACAGGCAAAAAGTTTAAAAAATGATCTCCCCACTTTTAAAGAGAAATTGTCAAATCAAGGGTGAAGTGGCACACCTTCCTGAAAGAGACGGCCCTTTGGAGCCTACCCATTTTTGGATTTACATAAAATATCTGTCCCTTTCCCCCATCTGCTACTTGATTCTGATTCCAGATGTGTCTTTTGAGTAAACCAGTCACTCACGCTTCAAAGCTGTGGTTTTGATCTGGTTGAGGGGATGGCGGGGTTTCATTCATGGAGGGTGGGGTGGCATTTCCTGATCCCTCTCTTTCTTCCATGATGGATCTTGAGCCAGGCCTCATGAATGCAATTGTTCCATGCAACTGGTTTGCAATCTTCTGTGAACTCTAATAAAAGAGGAGACACGGGAAAAGAAGAATGCTTCATGTAATTAATTAATGCTATAAGACGGATTGATTCAGGAGATAGATAGAATCAAATCATAGAATCAAAGAGTTGGAAGAGACCTCATGGGCCATCCAGTCCAACCCCCTGCCAAGAAGCAGGAATATTGCATTCAAATCATCCCTGACAGATGGCCATCCAGCCTCTGTTTAAAAGCTTCCAAAGAAGGAGCCTCCACCACACAGATTATTGCATGCGGCTTGTAGCGTGCCTTACAAGCTCCCTAGCTACAAATGGAAATACTCATGATTGCAAGACATCATGTTAAAGTAGCATTCTTCATCTCATTCTCAGGTTATCCTTTTCAATAAATAAGGAGCTCCCATTTTAAGGTAGCAGAAAGTGCTTCCAAAGTGTGCCAAAAATGTTTTTGTGTGTCAGGAGCAACTTGAGAGATTGCAAGTCGCTTATGGTGTTAGAGAATTGGCTGTCTGCAAGGATGTTGCCCAGGGGACATCCAGATGTTTTGATATTTTACCATCCTTGTGGGAGACTTCTCTCATGTCTCACATGGAGAGCTGGAGCTAACAGAGGGAGCTCATCTGCACTCTCCCTGCATTCGAACCTCCAACCTGTTGGTCTTCAGTCCTGCTATTGTGCCACCGGGGACTCCATTGTGTTGAGATGATGCAATAGAACAAAAGTATGGCTGCAATGAGTTCAGGACATGCCTGTATTTTTGTGGGCATGTTGTGGGCATCACTTTCCAGCGCTGAATTGCCCCATCCCCAAACTGTTAGCCATTCTACTTTCTAGAAGCTGCAAAACTATAACTTCCCACTGAATTTTTAATAATTAAAGTAATTGCTTAGTTCTATAGGTAAGGTCAGGGACTCCGAGATTTCACTTCTTGGTTAAACATTGTCTTACTATTTGCAAGACTTCCTTTGTCCATTTTACAAAGCTTCTCATACAACCTTAACATGGTTTGCCCAAAAAAAGGACATTGCCTCCTTGCAGAGTTGATTGTGTTCATAGTTGAAAAGTAGGGAACGGGGACATTCCTGGAAATCTTAGACGGGGTAAAGAATCTCTGCCATTGGTCAATGGGGAAAAATATGGGAACTGTAGTTCAAAATCATCTGGTGGTGGTGGTGGTGGGGGGGGGGGGCGGCACATAATTAGCCATTACTGTTTAGTGGAGCATTTACACTTTAGAGTTAATGTACTACTTGAACTGCCATGGCTCAATACTATGGAAGTATGGAAGTTGTAGTTTTACAAGATCTTTAACCCTCTCTGCCAAAGAACGCTGGTGCCTCACCAAACTATAAATCCCAAGTGACCTCAGAACAGCTGTCCTTGAACAAAGAAATACAAAGGGAAATTGGAAAGAAATCAGCAGAACTGGAATAAATGCCATCCATGAACTGAACAGAGATACAAGTTTTTTTGGCACAGTATACATAATATGAGACTAGTTAACACCTCACCCTCATGAGGGCACTCTCGCCCAGTTTATCTCATCTCTTTTCAGATTCCAAGCCAGCATCACACTAAATTCGAACAACTCCCTCCACCATTCACATAGTAAACTGCATTAATTCAATAGTGTAGAAGCAATTGCTGCTAGAATTTTAACAACCTTGCTCTTTCCTATGAAATGCTAGGATTTCTAAACTAGTGAGATCCTTAGACCCATTTCTTATAGAGCTCTGTTGCTATAGTCAAGGAAAGAACAGCAGTACTTTCTAGCAGAATATTCTGTGTGTATATATTCATGTCATCTCTTGAATTATGGAAAAACCATGAATTTATAGGGGGTTTATTTGGCAAGACATACTCTGTGATTTTGCCAGTTTCTTCTTCTGAAATATATCCTATAGCACTCTTTGTCAGCAGTCTCCCATTTGGGTACTAACCAGAGCTGACTGCTTAGCTTACAAGATCTGATAGGACCTATATCATACAAATCCTGGAAATGGAAATGTGGTAGCTAAAGTTGTATCATATTGCTGTAACTGCAGAGTGAAGACAAGTCCAAGGATGAATCAAGTAGGGAAATGAGCTTACCATCTCAAGAGCAGGTTCTCCATGGAGAATCATATTAGGGGAGATCCTCATATTCGGAGAACTTCTTTGTCGAGGAGACTGATCTAGAAACAGGAAAAGTAGGTATCACTGTCATAAGTAGGTATCACGCCTACCTGCGTGACCGCATGTCTGTATACGAACCCACACAATCTCTTCATTCATCTGGAGAGGCCCTGCTCTCGATCCCGCCAGCATCGCAGGCGTGATTGGTGGGGATGAGAGAGAGGGCCTTTTCGGTGGTGGCCCCTCGACTCCCTGAGGACATCAGGCAGGCCCCAACTCTGGCAGTCTTCAGGAGGAACTTGAAGACGTAGTTGTTCCAGTGTGCCTTCCCAGAAGAATGATTCCTTAGCACTTGGTCCCTCTAAAGCACTTTACATTTTTAAGTCTGCTCGTATGTCTTTCCACAAATGCCACTATCACTTTTTCGTCCATGTTCTGCACTATTTCCAATTTTAATTTTACATTTGGCCTTCCCACAGTTTTTAATTGTATGTTGTCTTATTGATAATGTTATAGTTTATTGTTTATGTTTTTATTTTAATTGCTTGTATTGTTGTGATTATTGCTTGTACTGTTGTGTTCGGGCTCGGCCTCATGTAAGCCGCATCGGGTCCCTTGGGGAGATGGTAGCGGGGTACAAATAAAGTGTTATTAAAGTGTTATTATATATGTAAGGTTATGGGGAAACAAAAGATGAATCAAGACTATTCCAGGAAAATTGGAGTGTTTGGAAGGCATGGGATTTTGCACTGATCAGTTTCCAACAAGGGAGAGTTTTCCTGCTGTCCTGGAAATTCTGGTGGGAAAACTCTTGATTACAGTAGTCCAGTCTCAGATCAATCCTGCTCTCAATAGATGACTGAGTGGCTCACCATATTTGTCTTCTGCTTCTTGGTTTGCCATTTTCTCGGTGCTGGATTTTCTGTTGTTCCGTGCAGAGAGCAAGGGCAGTAGTGAGTCTGGAGTGGAGCTCCCTTCTCTGGCCACCCCTTTGAGATGCTTTGGTCTGTCCCTGTTGCAACACAGAGGGAAGGAATGAATGGAAAGAAAGCAAGAATGTGGAGGGAGCACATAGGTCTCTATCTGAATGCCACCTTTGGACAGTAGTAGCAAAGGTTGATCATTATAAGAAAAATAATATTTTCAATAACACTTGCCTCTAAGAGTAAATAGTAAACATTCAGATAAATCAGGCATGGGAAAACTTCAGCCCTCCAGGTGTTTTGGAGTTCAACTCCGACAATTCCTAACAGCCTCAGGCCTTTTAGGAATTGACGGAGTTGAAGTCCAAAAACACCCAGAGGGCTGAAGTTTTCCCATGCCTGAGATAAAGCCTAAGTTAAGACTACTAAAATAAAAATCCTTAATTTTTAATTGACGATTAAGAGATAGTGAAATAGGATAGTCATGAAGGGAATAAAGCTAAGATGAAGATAATAAACTTAGTTGGAATGTGACGCTGGAGGAGTGTTTATGGACTGCCACAAATAAATCAGCCCCAGAGCAAATCCAGCATAGACTTTAAATAGAAGAAAATATGACTGTCATACTTTGGCCTTAACATGAGAAGACATGACTAATTAGACAAGTCAATGATGCTTGGCAAGGTGGCAGTTAGTAGGAAAAAAGATTATATTGCACTTGCCCAGAATTCCAACATACCACCGTCACATCCAGCACTTTTTAACCTGTACCCATCATTGGCCCGGCCCTGTTTTTAATGTGTAATAGTGTAATGTTTCTGTCATTGCTTATGTTTTAATTTTTCCTTTGTATTGAATTGTTATTGTTTGCTGTTGTTGTGTTGAGGCCTTGGCCTTTGTAAGCCACATCGAGTCCTTTGGGAGATGCTAGCGGGGTACAAATAAAGTTTAATAATAATAATAATAATTAATATTATGGGTGGATAAACTCAATTAAGGGTTCCCTGGTGGCACAGCGGGTTAAACCGTTGAGCTACTGAACTTGCTAACCAAAAGGTTGGTGGATCAATTCTGAGAAGCAGGGAGAGCACCCACTCTTAGCCCCAGCTTCTGCCAACCTAGCAGTTCGAAAACATGCAAATGTAAGTAGATCAATAGGTACCACTTCTGCGGAAAGGCAACGGCACTCCATGCAGTCATGGTGGCCACATGACTTTGGCGGTGTCTACAGAAAACACTGGCTCTTCGACTTAGAAATGGAGATGAGTTCCCCTGACATTAAGTCTAGTCATGTCTGATTCTGAGAGTTGGTGCTCAACTCCATATATATATATATATATATATATATATATATATATGCAGTATTTACATTCATTTCTATTTCTTTATTTCTTTATTTATTTACAGAATGTAAATACTGCAAATAAATAGATGATAGATAGATAGATAGATAGATAGATAGATAGATAGATAGAAATGGAGTTGAGCATCAACTCTTAGTCAGACATGACTAGACTTAATGTCAGGGGAAATCTTTGCCTTTTTAAAATCAATTAAGAAAGCCACAGCCCTGAGGTTGCAATCCTGTTGCAGCATTCATAGACTCCTTCCACACAGCTGTACAAACTCCACATTGAACTATCTTCCATACTGGATTTGATTACGAGGAAATTGAAACCACCAAGAAATAAGCAGAAGTCAGAAGAACATACTCTCTTCCACATAACCTCTTCAGCTCTTCTTTCAAGCGCTTGTTCTCCTCTCTCATCTTATTCATTTCATTAGCTGTGACAAAGAGAAAAAATAAATGCTGTGTTAGGTGGCAGATATAGGAGATGCAGTGGTGAAAATGTGTGTTTCAGAGACCACAGGCCAGAACCAGGCCTTATATCTCCCAATGAAAATGGGAATTCTGCCCAGAGAAAGGAAGGCCATGACCAATAACGCTTTGCCTGTCTGCCCAGCCTGTAGTCCAAGTTATAAATGCTAATGGGCACGACAATGGCACAAATAAGGTTGATGCCCACCAGAACAGTAACTCATGGGGTCACAACTATGGATCCTTTCTCATACCACAAAATTGTGGTTAAAATACCAGACATTTGACAAAAAACCCCAGCAGCAATAAAAACAACAATGTGTGCTTTTAGTGTGTGGACATGTGATTCCAAGCCTCATTGTTACTGGGTAATAGTTATGGCCTTGGCTAGAAGCATGTACATTTAACAGCTCAAAACAATATACAGTTTTTTGCAGATGTTTCACCCACATCTATGGCAGGCATCTTCAGAAGTTGTGAGGTATATTGGAAACTAGAAACAGGAGGTTTATATATCTGTTGAAGGTCCAAAGTGGGAGACAGGACTTTTGTATGTTCGAGGCAAATGTGAATGTTGCAATTAATCACTTTGATTAGCATTGCAAAGCCTTGCAGCTTCAAGGCCTGGCTGAGTCCTGCCTGAGGGAATCCTTTGTTGGGAGGTATTAGTTGGCCCTGATTGTTTCATGTCTGGAATCCCCCCCCCCTTTTTTTAGTGATGTTCTTTATTTATTGTCCTGATTTTACAGATTTTTTAATTACTGGTAGCCAGATTTTGTTCATTTTCATGGTTTTCTCCTTTCTGTTGAAATTGTACACATGCTTGATATGGTGGTTGTTAGAGTGGTCCAGTGTATATATATTCTCAAATAATATGCTGTGTCCAGGTTGGTTCATCAAATGCTCTGCTATAGCTGACTTCAGATACAGTTTTAGCCTTGCTGGTATATTGATACACTACAGTTGAACTGGAATTGTGAAAAATGTTTATGTGGTTATGTGCTGTAGCACTCTGGGCCTGTGCATATGACTGTAAACAGGACATAAATTCTGTGTGCCCAACGGGACTCCGGGGCTGTCTCAGATTAAAAGCCCTTGGACCTCCCCAAGACAAAGTTCTGTAGAGGCTTAAAGTAAGTCCAACAAAGTTCTTTATTGATGAAAACAAACAGGTACTTTAAAGCTTTCTTAACAGTCTATTGGCTCTTGCAATCTTGTTCATTGGGAACAGGCACTATCTTCATAACTGTATACTAACTAATGGGGAAATCCTTAACTTCCAATCTGGGCAGTCTGTACTTGCCTCTGTTGACGTGGAGCCCCTGCACCCGGTACCAACTGCGTCTGGCTTCCCCGAGCGACCTTTACCAAGCAGAGCTTTGTAGACTTCCAGGGGAAAAGGAGTTCAGGTTTCCGTGATGGCTGTGAAGTCCCTCAGCAAAGGAGCTGTAAGGCTGTATGATCCTTGGCCAAGCTGTGGGTTGTATAACCCCGGCCAAGCTGTAGAAGACTAAGCTTTCTACAGGAGCTCTTGGTTTTATGTCCTGTGCGAAAGGCTTCTCTGTGTGGACTGAACCCAAACTGGCTCCTATTCCCTCCAAAAACCCAAAAGGGGCGGGACCAGGGAACCTAACTATAATTGACAGGGGGCTTGCCCTATGATTGCAGCCAAAAGAAGCCACCTATCTGCAGAGTCCCTGAAACTTAGGACTGCAACAAACATTCAATGCAAAGCAAACAAAATTGCAGCTCCTGGTACAGTTGTACCTGCACAGGTTATGCAATATGACCCTCCCATATGCGCAGGACCAGATGCTGGTTTCATCAACTTGCATACAAAAAAATCTGTCCTCTATGACTTTTCAAGGACCTCTGGGCAATTCTATGGTATGATTCCACCAGATGTTATAATAGAGTGGCTGAGGGGAAAAGGGAAAGGGCCTGAAGCTGTTAGGAATTGTGGGAGTTGAAGTCCAAAACACCCGGAGGGCCAAAGTTTGCCCATGCCTGTTATAGACAATCATTTTGGTGTCACCCCCTGATGGTGTTGCCAGTGTGATTTGCACCCTTCCCCCAAAGATGTTACTGGGATAGATAAGTCAAAATTCTTGCTGCTTTTTCATGTTACTAATCCCTTAATTTTAAATTGAATTTGAATCAGACAGCTCTTCAAATGGAAAACTGTTCTCTATAGAGTAGAGGACACATGGCTACTTAGAAGTCAGTAATTTTCCACTTTGGTGAAAATCACTCAGTTTTAAAAGTTTTGCATTTTGTTCTCTAGATCTTTGATAAATTCCACATTTGAACTACAACCCCCCGAATCTCCCATCTGGCATGGCCAACAAATCCAAAGGGGGAAAAGAAACATTTTCAAACTATCTACTTTCTGTTTCTAATCCCCTACTTGGTTTAATTATCTTTTAATACTTTCCATTCATTTTTCTTATCATTAGTCTTCTGTTTATTATGTTCTAGGTTCAGTTTGAGACAAGAGAAAAGGAAATCAAATACTGAATGTTTGAAACTATAATATTTCCTAATGCTTAGGGGTTTTATTCCCAAGCACAAAAAGTCCCACTTTTTAAAACCATGACCATTGTGGGCATCATTGTCTGGCTGCTAGAACCTTGAAAGAAGTCTCTTGTACTCACTGAGGATGAAGATGTGCTGAAGACTCTGGAAATGGGCCTTCCCAAACTCATGCTGCTTCTTTTTAGCAAGTTCCTGTGTGACTTGACACCTGTCACAGAGCCCAGCTCGCAACCTTAAAAGTAAATAAATTGAATAGTTTTAACCCAATGAGGCCACATAGAAGCACTCTGTCACAGTCCTTCCCTCTGTATTAGATGTCCAGGTTATGGGTGCTGTTGTGTATGTAGACAAAAGAGGCACCATTCATGGTAAATCCTCCAAATACCTAATTTTGGTAGTGACTGTTCCAGTTAATCGGGACAGACCTAAAGTCTGGGTCAGAAGGCTTGAGAAGCCAGTTTGGGTATGTCTCAGATTTGATCTACCTGTTACATAGCAGGAGATATGGATCAAGCTGGTCCATATTAGGATACTCAAAATGTTAATTCCTTTTTAATCCCTGAAGATGGAGCTAATAAGAAGCAAAAGAAAAAAAGCAGGCATCCATTTACCTGTTTTCCAACACTTTCACATTTTCTTTCAGGGCTTTCTGCTGTTCTCGGAGTTGGTGGTTTTTAGCAAACAGCTCTTCGATTCTCTGGGCATCTCTAATTTAAGATGAGAAGAAGAGACAGAATGAGAAGGTTGGTCAAACACTGCAACACCTAACCACAGCCCTTGTTTGTTATATAGTTGTCATGGAGGATCTAAACATTTCTAGAGAGAATATCTTAATCAAAGCCATGAACAATGAGCTCAGCAAAAGTTAAAGGCTCAAATGTGGAAAGCTGACAGTGCATTGATAGTGGGTTGGGTGAAGTATAAGGTGTACTATGTTCTTTTTTACAAGGAAGTATTCTCATTGCAGGTGTCCATGGACCACAGAATAGAAGGAGTAAAGAGTAGGTCAAGTCTATGGAGCTCTCTCCATTCTAAAATCATCAGGTGAAGTCAACTCCAAAAGAGTTTGAGGGCCCATCCAGATGGGCCCCAAACTGCGGGGCCTGTCAGGCTTTTACCTGAAGCACCCAGGTCTTATGGTAGGATATAAGTGGAAATGATGCCAGAAAGGATGGTTTCTGAAGTTTGATATCTTCACCCAGGTCTAGTAAAGGATATGAGTAGAAACAATTCCAGAAAAAGTGGTTTCTTAAGGATGATGCCCTAAAAAGGATAGAAAGGTGAGCCTTGGAAGTTCCTTTATTGCTGCCAATGGGTTGGATTTTCCAGTAGCAAAAACTGAACTTTCGGCTGCCAGATTGAAAAATTGAATTTTGCCAGCTCAAATTCGGGAGGCTCCTGAAAAAACAGATGGGGGATGGGGGGTGGGAAGGACAGACCAAAATCCCAACACTGAAAATGGCATTCGGTTTAGGTGAATCACACACCCCAATATGTTATATTACGTATATTTTGCTGTCCTTTTATTTGATGATGTGCATTCTTTTATTTGACAGTATGTAGCTAAGAAATAGTATAGTGAAGGCTGAAGGGCAACCGAAGCAGGAGAAAACACTGCCTAGAGGCACTGAAAAAGTGTGAAAGGAGCTGTGGCAGTTGATTTGAACCCAGTCAGGAATGTAAATTTGATAGCTGTTTAAGAGCTGCATTGCCATTAGGGGAATGAGGCAATTGCCTCAGGCAACAGAGGTTGGGATGCCAAAGCCATAGGACAGAGATGTCTGGTCCAAGTGCTGTTGTGCCATTACACCAAGACGCTTTTATAAAAACAAAACTATGATGTGCTGTTCCCTATGTCTGGGCGAACTGCTGGTGCTTTTCTTGAGAAGATTGAGATTCTCAGTAACTGAGTCTATTACAAGTTCTGAACATCAAAAAGGATATTTATTTCTCAAAGTTGCAAACAGAACAGTCAATTGATAACCAAATAGATATTTCTTCTTTCTCTTCTCCACCAGTTACCGAGTCAGCCTTTTCCCAAGTGGCAAAGGGATCCAGGGATCCTTCACCCTAATCCAGAGCTGTTGCCTTTAGAAAGAACAAATCTTTCCCTATCTATCTAAGCTCCAGATTAGCCTTGGAGATAAGGCAATGCAGTCTCTCTCTCTATAAGACTCTATAAAACTCAATTCTCAAAGCTCAATATCTATTCTTCTTTACACTCTATAACTCTCTTATAATCTATCTAACTATAGCTCAATTAAGCTTATCTAACTCTAATATCTCTATTCTATAACTCAATTGTTTTTGCAGTGGTTTTGTCAGAGCTACCTTTCTGGCCTCCAGCACATCAGATTCCTTCTTCAGAACTGAACAGGCAAGGAGGACTCCAAAATGGAGGTCTGGCCTGGTAAAAGGGGCGGGCTCAAAAGTTACTCTCTGGGCCAATAACTGCAAAGGAGGCCTGCAGACTGGCTTGCAGACTTGCTACTATTAACCTTTGGGGCTCTTGCAAACTGCAGCAGCCCTGGGACAAAATGCAAAAGAAAGCAGCCTTAAGCAGCTGAAAGGTAGGGCAAACAGCTGTGTATTGCAGCCACTATGCTAGTCTTCTGTTTATCTAGTCTGTGATAAAGTAAGTTTTAGCTACTGGTTGAATCGAAGCAAGATGCCCCCTTGTTCTTTTTAATCAGCCTGGGTCAAATCAGGCCAGCTTCTACCCTCCCATGAAATGTTACGGGTGAGGAAGCCAGCCTTGGTTTTCTAAAACAATCTAAGCCCAAACAACATATGATAAAATAACATTTGATTTACTCACTGGGATCTCTCAGTGGTTATGTCATTCAGCTTGGTTTGCAGAGCTAAAAGAATAAAAAGAAACTTCGGATTAGAGATTCTGGATCCTTTCCCCAAGTTGCCTGATTTGGAAAAGGGTAGGTGACACAGTGTCACTCCCATAGTTTCACTTACACCCAACACCACACAGTTTTACCTACTCACCAAACTACAAAAACCCCAGAACTGCATAGCACTGAGGTCTATGGGCTGTGGTTACATTTAGGGCAGTGGTTCTCAACCTCCCTAATGCTGCAACCCCTTAATACAGTTCCTCATGTTGTGGTGACCCCCAGCGTAACATTATTTTAGCTGCTATTTCATAACTGTAATTTTGTTACTGTTCTGAATTGCAGTGTATATATCTGATATGCAGGATATATTTTCATCCACTGGACCAAATCTGGCACAAATACCTGATAGGCCCAAATTTGAATACTGGTGGGGTTGGGGAGGGGGAGATTGATTTTGTCATTTGGGAGTTGTAGTTGCAGGGATTTGTAGGTCACCTACACTCAAAGAGCATTCTGAACTCCAAAAACGATGGAATTGAACCAAACTTAGCACACAGAACTCCAGTGACCAACAGAAAATACTGGAAGTGTTTGGTGGGCACCGACCTTGAGTTTTGGAGTTGTAGTTCACCTACATCCAGAGAGCACGGTGAATTCAAATCAAACTTGGCTCGGATGCTCAATTATGCCCAGCTGTGAACACTGGTGGAGTTTGGGGGAAATAGACCGTGACATTTGGGAGTTGTAGTTTCTGGGATTTATAGTTCACCTACACTCAGATTATTCTGAACCCCACCAACAATAGAATTGGGTGAAAACTTCCCACAGAGAAGCCCAATGACCAACAGAAAATACTGTGTTTTCTGGTGGTCTTTGGTGACGTCCCCTGACACCGCCTCGTGACCCCCCCAGTGGTCCCGACCCCTAGGTTGAGGAACACTGGTTTAGGGAATTGCTTATACAACCATGAATTGAATGTGTTATTGTTGAGTTTAGTGCAGGAAGACTGGAGTTCAAATTTTCTTTCATATACAAAGTCTACTGTGTGACTTTGCATCAGTTGTCTCAGGCTAAGTCTATTTTATAAGACTGTAATGGCTGTAAAATGCCAAGGGGTGTATATTATTCCCCAAGCTCTTTGGAGAGACAAGAAAATAAAATGGCAACAACTTAATAGCTGCTGTTTCTGGCAATGGGCTCTGTGATGTCTTAACATGGATTCTTTCCCAGTTTGGTGCCCTTGAGAAGTTCTGGCTTACAATCCCTCTCAATATTATTCATGCAACCTCAGGTTGGTGGGAATTGTAGACTAACAAATCTGGAGGGCACCATGGCATGAAAGGTTGAGTCCTAAATAAGACTCCTATTAGCTTCTTATGTCTATTTTCTAGGCTGAGAATGAGTCTTTATGCTCAGTTGTTATTCTTGAAAAGACTATTCGCCAAAGCCAGCATTAAAATGTCATAGATTTCAAATCCTGTCTTACCATGAACTTCTTTCTCATGGATTTCCTTGACTTTGTTCAAGAAGTCTCCAAAATTTTCTGCAGCCATATTCTATTTTCACATGGGTGGTTCCAAATTGGTGAGACAAACCTTGTAGGTCAATATTTTCCCTCTTCTGTTCAGTCTGTAATATAAAACAAAGGAATTACAGCTAACGATATCAGTCCAAACAGTCTGTATGGTTTTTAATGCTATTGTATCCCAATAAAGGAGAGCAAAAACGATGCAGCGGTTTCAGTGTTAGACTATGGATGCCTCTATGTATCTCAGTGGTGGCCCCCCAGCTATGGAACTCCCTCCCCAGGGATATTAGATCATCCCCTTCCCTCCTGATTTTCCGAAAAAGGGTAAAAACTTGGCTCTTTGAGCAAGCTTTTGAGAATGCAGTGGAATAGATAACAGGGAACTATGATTGATGAACATGGAAAGGCTAGACGATATTACTGGATAACATTTTTAACAAGATGGCACCAATGATTAGATGTTTAATGGTTTTTATATATGTTTTTGTATTGTTTATGGTTTTTAATTGCACTTTTATGAATGTATGGCATTGAATTTGTGCCAATCTGTAACCTGCCTTGAGTCACCATATGACTGAGAAAGGTGGACTATAAATATCGTAAATAAATAAATAAATAAATAAATAAATAGAACAAATGCATTTTGACATCCCTTTAACTGCCATGGCTCAATGCAATGCAATTATAAGAGTTGTAGCTTTACAAGCTCTCTCTACCAATTAATATGGGTGCCTTACCAAACTATAACTTCTCCAGATTTATGCCTTTGCAAGTAGCCATATGTGTCTTTTACCATTTCTAATTGTTATGAGAGTTTATATTACATGTGTTGCATCTTTTTATCAGCCAGCACGTCAACGACTTAAATCAAGAAATAGTTTTCTTAGATCTACAGAGACACTCGCTGGAACACCTCAGCAAGCGAGAGTTCAAAAGTGGCAGGCTCAAACCCAGCACCTCAATCCGTGGGTGATACCAGATGAGAGACTCCCCCTGGGCACACAGAAGACTGGGTGACTTGGAAGGCACTGAACAGACTGCGCTCTGGCACCACGAGATGCAGAGCCAATCTTAAGAAATGGGGCTACAAAGTGGAATCCACGACATGCGAGTGTGGAGAAGAGCAAACCACTGACCACCTGCTGCAATGCAACCTGAGCCCTGCCACATGCACAATGGAGGACCTTCTTGCGGCAACACCAGAGGCACTCCAAGTGGCCAGATACTGGTCAAAGGACATTTAATCAGCTACCAAGTTTGCAAAATTTGTGTTTTTATTTGTTTGTTTGTTTTGTTCTGTTAGAAATGTAATACAATGTTCTGGTTGCGGATGACACGATAAATAAACAAATAAATAAATATATAAATATCTTTTTACAACCTAGATTCCATAGCATGGAGTCATGGCACTTAAGCTAGTGTCAAAACTGCATTCATTCTACAGTGTAGATGTATCCACAGAGCAAAATCTTTCTGTATGCTCCAAGATTGCTTTGCACAAATGGACAATGAAGGGCTGGTTCTCCTATTAGGTTGAATGAAGCAGTTGCATCAGACTTTGAGTATTATAAAAAAGTAACAAATGCTTAGTATCACCATAACTTTACTGTGGGAGAATATCACAGGATGTCTACGCCCCACACCATTGGAGAACTTATACTGTTTAGCCGGTATTGCACCACCTGACATCTGCTGGGAAGTAGCAGCCAATAATGAAAGGACCAAGGCAGTGACATCTCCTGCTCATCCCCTGTTCGGATATCAGCCAGCACACCAACACCTTAAATCAAGAAATAGTTTTCTAAGATCTACAGAGATACTTGCAGGAACACCTCAGCAAGTGAGAGTCTAAAAGTTGCAGGCTAAAACCCGGAACCTCAATCCGTAGCTGATACCGAATGAGAGACTCCCTCCTGGGTACACAGAAGGCTATGCAACTTGGAAGGCATTGAATAGACTGTGCTCTGGCACCACGAGATGCAGAGCCAACCTTCATAAATGGGGCTACAAAGTGGAGTCCATGACATGTGAGTGTGCAGAGGAGCAAACCACACCTATTACAATGCAGCCTGAGCCTTGCCACATGCACAGTGGAGGACCTCTTTATAGCAACACCAGAGGCACTCCAAGTGTCCAGCTACTGGTCAAAGGACATTTAGTATAATGCCAAGTTTTTAACTTTGTTTGTGTTTTTAAATACATTACAACTGTACCCTCAATTTGTTTCTGACACGATAAATTAAAAAAAAACTGAGGGAGAACGACAAAGGGAAGGCACTTCTATGATTTTGTGCCAAAATAACTTGACTGGCTTTGAATACAGTATTCTAAATTTTGAAATAGGAGATGAGGAGGAGGAAGAAAGAGCCAGTTTTTGCTTCAACTTGTGCATTTAAATATTTAAGGCTTGGTCTGACCTGAAGTTTGTGTTGTCATTGTGCTGCATGAGAGAGCTGCCAAGTTGCTAATGGTATTTTTTTAAAAAAATTGGCTGTCATTCACTCAAATTTGTCTTTTCAACAGAGCCTGATAGTCTGGAATAAACTGGTCCTGGGAAAGTGACCTTTGGACTATACTGCCCAGAATCCCTGAGACAGGAAATCTTCCCTAATTTTCTATTTATTCAGTTAGTTATATCCAACATTTCGCCCACAAAGAGTTCCAAAGCAGCTAAATGTTTCCAAACTCTAGATAGGATTTGATAGAGTATTTTATTTTATTGCATTTATATGTCACCTTTCTCCCCAAGTAGGACACATGGCGGCATCCATAACAATTTAAAAAGCAAGTTATAAATGCTACAATTTCTGATGTAGCAGCGAACAGCTCAATAACGTAACTTGTTAGTGAAAGTGTATCAAATTCAACTCAAAACAGTGCTGCAAATCTTATAAACACCAGTAAAGTTTTGTTTTACAAAATAACATCAATTAAACAAAGTATCTCAGCCAGCAAGCTCTAAATTTCAAAAAACAAACAACTTTACAATTGGGTTGGTGTAGATTTTTTCGGGCTATATGGCCATGTTCTAGAGGCATTCTCTCCTGACGTTTCGCCTGCATCTATGGCAAGCATTCTCAGAGGTAGTGAGGTCTGTTGGAACTAGTTGTATTGTATCAATTGTATCAAAACCAAAATAAAGGCAGGCAATTTTGTGAGGTTTTTTTCCTACTAAGTTAGCAAGCTATGCATGCCATTAAACAAAAGCATTCAAGGTAGCAAAGGGTGAATACATAACGTACAATTAATGCAGTTTGACGCCACTTTAGCTGCCACAGCTCAATGCTATGAAATCATGGCTGTTGTAGTTTTCAAGGTCTTTGGCCTTCTTTGCCAAAGAGTGTTGGTGCATCACCAAACTGCAAATCCCAAGACTCTATCACACTGAGCTACAACTGTTCAGCTGGTGCCAAACTGCATTAACTCTACAGTGTAGATGCACCCAAAGAATCAGAGAGTCATCTAATGTACACCCATTAGATAAAGGGATCAAATCTTTTCCATTAAGAAAGCTCAGGATAATCATTTCCATGGAGAAAACTCAGGTATCTATTTTAGCAAAAATACTTAAGAAACTCATCATAGGCACACAAGAAAGGGATCTTTAGAAACACTAATGGTGGAAGACAGATGTTTCAAACTACTCACTGGTCATAACATTTATTACATTTGCACAGATGCCCTTTACACGCTTGCCTTAACTGTGACCCTTCCGTGGTGTTTTATTTCCTTGGTGATTTTCCAAAGGTGCCATTAATCTGAGACTTTGCCAGTTCTATTCAAAACCTGTGGCAGAGTCCAAGGAGGGGGGGGGGGGGGGGGGGGGGGGGGGGGGGGGGGTTGATGAAGGCATTTCTTTCCAGGAAGCTCAGATTGCATTAATACCTATGGCTGCAACTCCTCCTTCAAAATACCATTGGTGTTTCTAAAGGAAAAACGTGCATTATTAAGTTTGGTATTTTTATTCTTTTATTTCCTTTCTGAGCAATTCAATTTTTGCAACATTTAGAAAAGTATGAATTATACTGCAAAGGTTAATTTTGAACAAGTCTTTCCTCTGTGAGCTTCTTGACTTGAATTGCTGTGTAACATTAGATGACAAGAGTAATTTGATTGCTGGTTGCTAAACTAATGCAATGACTCTCATGAACTAATAATAACAATGACAATAACAATAACAACAATATGTTTCTAATTGCATAGTGTCAGAATACACATTTACTCTTTTCAATTTAAAATATAATAAACTAGCCATAAGACTGTAGTTCTCTCTCTCTCTCTCTCTCTCTCTCTCTCTCTATATATATATATATATGCTCTCTGTGCCCCTGTTCAGAAGATTTCACCTCACTTTCTGTCCCTGTGATAATGAGAGTCTTAAAAATTGGTTTCTTGTGGAAACAAGGATTGGTGATAAAGCTTCAGTGGAGACACCATTTCCTCATGATAATTCTTTCAAGAGTGCATTTCTCTCCTGGGGGTAGATTTCTCACACTTCCTGTTGTCTCTCCCCCATTCTCCACCCATGTGCCCGGAGGAGGGCGACTCCGAGGACCAAGGGTCTGGAAAACAAACCCTATGAGGAGTGGCTTCAAGAGCTGGGCATGTTTAGCCTGCAGAAGAAAAGGCTGCGACATGATGAGGACCATATATAAATATGTGAGAGTAAGTCATAGGGAGGAGGGAGCAGCCTTGTTTTCTGCTGCCATGGACACGGAACAATGGCTTCAAACTAGGGGAAAGGAGATTTCTCTTGAACATTAGGAAGAACTTCCTGACTGTGAAAGCTGTTCAGCAGTGGAACTCTCTGCTCTGTGGTGGAGGCTCCTTCTTTAGAGGCTTTTAAACAGAGGCTGGATGGCCATCTGTCAGGAGTGCTTTGACTGTGATTTTCCTACTTCTTGGACTGGATGGCCCATGAGGTGTCTTCTGACTCTACGATTCTAATACGATCAAGAAATTACAAACCCCGAGTCCCTTTATTCATTCCTTCTGTTTTCCCTGATGCATATTCTTTTCTATAAACCAGGATAACAAAACCATATGATGGAAGAGAAACAAATTATCTTCGGAAATGAATTGCGATGATGAGATCAGTGTA